TACCTGCAGGAGAAATACCACAAACAAATAACCTTTATCTGGAGACTGTGCAAATAGACAGTCATTGAAAGAGGGGCACAGGAACTACACGTTTGGCCAAAATGGGAGCCTAGGAAAAATGGAGGCGAGTGAATTGTGCACCTTTCTCGCCCACTGTCTTCCTCTGCAGTAAATGCAGCAGAGACCACCATACTCCACTGGGGCTCCTGAGTTATAGCAAATGATGCTCAAGTTGACCACTGGTATAAACCAAACTTTACAAGCTTACCTTGTTCCAGTAATTTTATCACAGTAAAAATCTTGATTTATGGTTTTAAATTGAATTTGTTATTGTAAAGGGGGAAGAATCCAGACTGAAGGCACTCACTGTTTTGGGATACATGACCACTAGTGCCATTCCAGAATGTTCCAGGGAGAAGTGACCTTTAAGAGGCAACAATTGTGGGGAAAGGATTGATACATTGATAGACTTTGAGAGCAAAATTTTAGAAGATTTAAAAAAGTAACATTAGTAAGCATTGGAAGGTGGAAGGAGATCATAAATTGAATTGGAGAAAAATAAGCTGGGAAAATTAAGGTTGACAAATGTATCAGGTGTGAGACTGGGGATTGGTTGGGCAGGAGCAGTAAGGATGAAAGGACAATTAATGCAGATACTACTGTCATTTAACTCTTTCTAGAATCTAATTCGGCCATGCAGACATCACTAATGTGGAAATTCCTGTTGACTTGAGGTTTGTTTCAAATACATGAATAATTCTGCCTTTTTATGTAGCACATAAGTGAAGCTTCTCACAAGGTGCATTTATTGCATGGTCAACCCTGGTATTGAAACAACATGTTAATTGTTCTAAATCATCGATGTTCAGTTGGACTTTCCTGCAATTTAATGCTTCTACAATGTGGTTTTATATAACAATCTCATTCATACCTGGTCAATAATATTCAGCATCGGAAAAACCAACTACCCAATGCAATTGGTGGTATTCCCTATAAACTTGGTCAGATGTTTTACACTGACCTTCACTAGAAAAGATACAAGCAGCATCCCGGAAATTGTAAATAGGGAATTGAGAGGGTGGTAGGAACTCAAGAAAACTACAGTTACCAGGAAAGTAATACTGAGTAAATTGTTGAAAATGCAAGTTGACAAGACCATAGGTCCTGATGGATTTCATCCTAGGGTCTTAAAATACTTAAATGTTGATGCTTTAATTTTAACTTTCCAAAACTCATTAGATTCAGGAAGGTTCCTTTTAGATTGGAAAAAAGCTAATGTAACCCTTTTATTCAAAAGGGGAAGGAGGCAGAAAGCAGGAGACTGCAGGTCAGTTAGCTTAATATCTGTTGTGGAGAAAATGTTAGTTATTGTTAAAGGTGTTATTACAGGGTACTTGGAAATGTACAACGTGATCAGGCAGAGCCAATATGGTTTTATCAGAGAAATTGTTTACTTTGATTTATTTGGCAATGTGTTGTAGATAAAGGGGAATCAGTGGGTGTGTTGTGCTTAAATGTCCAGAAGGCTTTGGATAAGGTACCACATCAATGGTGATTGTGGAAAATAAAATCTCATGGTGTTAGGGGTAACATTTTAGCGTGGACAAAAGATTGCCTGGCTAACAGGAAGCAGAGAGTAGCAATAAATAGGTCTTTGAAGCTTGCAATATGTCATAAGCAGTGTGCCACAGGAGTCAATGCTAGGGTTTCAACATTTTTCATCCAAATCATTTCTGTAAATTGTAGGGAGCTATGGTCTGATTACACAATAGGAAAGTGAGTTGAAAGAGGGCATAAAGAGCTACAAAAGTCCAGGGAGGTTGAGAGGCAGAGATCTGCCAACTGGATGCAATGTGGCAAAGTATCAAATTGTCCATTTTGGCAGATTTTTTTTTTGCAAGTCCTTTGTTGAAATGGTGAGAGGTTGTGATGCCAAGAGATCTGGGTGTCAGTACATGAATCACAAAGTTAGTGTCAGAACAGCAAGTAATCAGGAAAGCTAATAGAATGTTATGTTTATTGTCTGAAGTATTGAATGCAAGAATAGGGATATTATGCCTCAAGTGTACAGGGTATTGGTGAGACAACATCTGGAGTACAGTACTTTTTACTATACTTATGGAAGGGTGTTGATGCATTGAAAGCAGTTTGGAGAAGGTTGACTAGACTAATACTTGGATGAGTCGATTGCCTTGAAGGGAGGCTACACCAGCTAATCCATATCCTCGAGTATAGAAAAGTCAGAGGTGTCTTAATTGAAACACAAGATTCTGAGGGAATTTGACAGGATGGATGTTGAAAGGAGAATCTAAGACTAAGATCATAGCTGAAAAATAAGGCAGATGAGAATTTTTTTCTGAAGTTGTCTTTTTTAGAATCACCTTACTCAAAATGGCAGTGGATGCAGATTATTTAAATATTTTTAAAGCAGATATAGGTAGATTCTGGAGAGGAAAGGTTATCAAAAATATGCAGAAATGATCGTATTGAATGGTGGAGCATGTTTGAAGGGCTGAATGGCCTACAGTGGTTCCTTTTTTTGTATGTTTATATAAAAATTGAACAAAACATTTGTATCATTCAGTGATGTTTTATTTAGTACACTATTTCTGAGCAAAATAAAATTCCATTATTATCAGTTAAGTGTTGCCCTCATTTCAGTTTCAGACCTTGCCAGTGTTAATATTTGCAGACATCAATTGGGTGGTCATGGTCAGAGAAGCCGGTCATGTATTCACTGTGGCTTGGGAAGTGGTGATATTCTGGTGGAATTAAGACAGAAGAACACAAGCCTGTAGTGTGTAATGAGTAGACTGAAATTCATTATACTATATGTTGAACTAACCAGGGTTTAATGCAAATAGTAGTCGTGTAGAATAGTTAGGATGACTTAAGATTCTCTTAGTTAGGTATAAGCAAATTCCCCTGATTATTGACAATTTGGAATGCAGAATTTCTGATTATTTTGTTGGTAGTCCCAACTGAACATCTGCCTTTCATTTCTCTACCTGTTGACAGTGGTTTTCAAAGGTCCTTGGCTCTGAGAATTTTAACCCCTATCTAACCTCTCTTCTCTTCCCTCAAGTTGCACGTGATGCCAGCTGATGAACTACTAGAGATGGTGGTGATTGGCAACATTATTCTATGCTTAAAGTGGCATTGTCTTGTATGTCAGCAGGCCTTACGTATTTGGTATCTTAGTCCAACAAAAGAGAACTGACATCTCCATTCCATCCAGCTGGATGTCCAGTCACTGGGCAATTGAGCCTTAGCTTTGTATTTACTGTGCAAGAATATTTTAGTGCTGAAATGTAACAGAACAATGAAAAGAGAATGTCATTTCTATCAAATCCACAAAGCATTTTGCGCCTTTAATTGTACTCCGTCACTAGACAAATGTAGTGGCTGATTTCCACTCTGATGCCTAATGAGTCTCAAAGCAAATGACTGAAATTGTTTTTTGCTTTTTGAAGGAGGCATGTTGGTCAGAGTGCATCAAATGACCTATTCTATGAATTGTCCCCACAGGATCTCATTTTGGTGATATTTGAAAGTTGAGCATTATTTTTTGACATTTTAAGGACATTTTTGAAAAAGGAAAGTTTGTCAGTTGTCATTTTATTATCAGGTTTTAGAACCTTTTTGGTGAATTTTCAAAGTTTTTTAGCTTGTTCTGTTTGTACTATTATTTAACCATCTCAACCTGATGGTTAAATGCACCAAAGTACTAGTAACGTACTTACTTTCAAATAAACTCATTTGTGTTTATAAAAATAAAACCAATTTTTAAAATTGAAAACCTCAGCAAAATTTTGGAAAGAAAAAAATGATTTAAGCATTTGTACAGTTGAATTTGGTATGTCACTGCCTCTATCCTCTCCTACCCCCCCCTCTCATCTCCTTTCCATGGAATGTTACTCAGACATATGTATGTATCTTATGGGTAGTTTGACAATGCATCTTATGTCCAGAGAGAGAAGGAAATCTGCTCAAAACCAGGAAAGTAGTTCTGTCCATCACCATAAATGAAAATGTGCTTCTTAACAGTTTGTTTTATTGGGTTTAGCCTTGATTAAAGAACTCTTATTCACTCATGGGGCTGAGCTGTTGATTGGCCAGCATTTAGTGCCCATCCCTAGTTGTCCTTGAAGCTCTGCAATCCATCTGCTGTAGGCAGACCCACAATGCTGTTAGGGAGGGAATTCCAGGATATTGACTCAGCGACAGTGAAGGAATTTACGGAGGAAAATGTTGGGAATTATGGCAAAATCAGAATGGAAAATTAGACCTCTCCCATTCTTGTCTCCCTAATCTTGGTTTCCTGTTAAATAGTCATGGCTAAAGAAGACATGTGATCTCCTCCAAATATATTACTGATATTGATGCTAATGATTGGCATTAAATAATTCCTGGTCTAATACTGTTGAAGTTAGCGTCCCCCAATTTGGAACTTTTTACCCAAGGACCAGTCTTAACCTTATCTATAACGATCCTAAAACTTACAGAATTATGGCCACTGTTCCCAAAATGTTCCTCCACTGACACTTCGATTACTTGGCCAGGCTCACTCCACATTACAAGGTCTGGTATGACCCCTTCCTTTAGTTGGCCTATCTACATATTGTTTCCAGTTAAATCTGAACTTTTTCTTAAAAAAAAAAAAAAAAAAATTTATATCTAAAAATATAGGTATTGCCAAAGTGCGCAAGTGTATTTCTATTTGCTTGGCTGTTAAGCATACCAGTTAAATTGAGACGGTAAGAGTTCAGTGGCAAAGTAAAGACAAATTACTGTAGACTTGCTACTCAGAAATATTGATTAAAACAATTTGAAATATAGTCCTTTTTTGAATATCAGTGTCAAAGTAGAAAGGTCAGCATCTTTGAGGCCTGCTGCACAGTACTTTTTAATGCCACTTTCATGTCACACTAATTAGCATTAGTCAGGTGATTGTGTGCTGGTAATGGCCTGTTAGAAACATTTATCCTCCTCTTCTTCAGTGTGGCTTCAGCGCTGGATTCAGAAAACCATGACCGATACGAACGTCTGACGTCGGTGTCAAGTTCAGTTGACTATGATCAGCGAGACAATGTGAGTAATTTTACTTCTCAGTTAGAGATTGACTGACAGGAAATACACACTATCTGTTGTTATTTACGTCACAAAACTAATTGTTTTCAGTATCAACTTGCAATTATATCACATCTCTAACATGAAACATCCCAAGATGGTTCACTGGTGTTTAACCAGGTGTGAGATTAAATACTTGGCTCAAATTTGGATTTTAAGAAGACTGCATATATGGAAGCAAATTTGAAACCAAAGGTGGTGATACTTCACAATATTTGCAATAGCAACAATATTTGCAATAGCAACAATATTTGCAATAGCAACAATATTTGCAATAGCAACAATATTTGCAA